ACGAGCGTGGTGGCACCAGCGGGCAGGGAGGGCTGCGCCGCGGCGCCGCAGCCAGGGGAGCCGGTCAGCGAAGGGCTACGCTGCCACGCACCAACCCGGAGCTTGGGGGGAAGCTGGAGCAGCAGAGGCAAGCACAGCTCCTCGCTCCTCCAAGGATGCTCCCGGAGCCAGGCGGGATACATGTCTGTATCGTTATAATTTTATTATTAACGACAACCCCCGTGTCAGCCCCAGTGGCCGCTCCTTCAGGCAGCTTCTAACACGCAAAGCGCAGCCTTGCTCCACAAACCCACATCTCCCCACGCCTCTTCTCCCTCCCCAAACCAAGAAGCGTTACGGTTCCTTGGTGCAAAGGGCCCGAGTCGGCCCCGCCGGCCATCCAAACCCTGTTCCAGAGCTCACAGCGGAGCCTGCCAGGGCGGACGGCTTCGCCACCCACCTCCAGCTTCTGCCCGCAGCAGAGCTCCTGGAAAAGGGCGCTCGTCCCACGGGGCGCCTGTGCTGAGCACAGAGACACCCGCTGCCTCTGCGCTGGGGGATCTTGCTTGGCTTTCTGGCCCCGTTCCCTCTCCACCAGTGGCCCCAGCCACCGTTCCCAGCTGACCGGGGACGTGCACAGAGCACTGCCAACCCCAGCACCCGCCCTGGGCCAGGCTCACCACCCCCTCCAGCCAAGGGACACCTATACTCTCAGGAAGGTACCAAAGACAGAGGTCACAGCACCCTGCAGGACCACGTAGCGCTTCTCCAAGCGTATTCCAAGACACAAGAACAAATCCTGCTTCAAACAGCGCTGCCAGGTCCCTTCGGGCTCAGAGGCACTCCTATGGCCGCCCCAAGGAGCCCATCTCTCAGGGGCACCTGAGCACACGGACCAGCAACTGGCAAAAGGGACTTCCAAGGGACCAGCAGCCTCCATCCCCTGCCTCACAGCCCCCTGGCAGAGGCAGCAGCACCCCGAAGCTCTGCTCTCCCCTTTGCCACGTGCTCCAGCGGCTTCCCTGCCTCTAGGGAAAGGAAGAGGAGACGTCCACTCATCTTACTCATACCAGGTTTATTTTTCTCTTCCCTGCATTTCTGACACAAGGGATGTAACCAAGGTCTCCACAGCAGCAAGTCTTCTATAGAAAAAATAGTCATTAATCTCACGCGGCAAAACCATCCCTGCCCTCCAAAGAAGACCGGCGCAGAACACAGCGGCGCAGGTGAGGACCGCTACGCTCCCGCAGCCTTCTGCTCAGGTACAGACGGATTAAAGCCTCCCAGTCGTACAGAAATCAGCTGCTCAAGAGAAATAACCGTTGTTGCACACACACAGCCACCAGGGCGGTTACCAGCCAACCCCCTTTTATTCGCTAGCTACAAAATTGGATGCAGTGCCTCATAGTGCAATATTTCCAGGTTCGGAGGGACCTAGCCAAGTCTGCGTTAAGATCTTTTCTAGGAATTGTACTCCTGAGGAATGAAGGGAAAAAAGGAGAGCAAAGACTTTATTTCACCGTGTTCAACAGCTCACTTCACTGAACAATCATTGTGCTCTATTTAGACACACTGCATTTCCCTAGAAGAAAAAAAAAAAAGATATCTCGTGTGATATCTTAAACTACGATTGGTGCAAGTCAGTGCCTAAACCTCTCAACTACACAGTCAACACCTGGTTAATGCTGAAATGCTCTATGTAAAAAAAAGAAAATTAGAAAAGAAATTTACTCTCCTCTCTAATTTCTCTGGACTTATAGTCCAGTATCTTGAACGCTCTGAGTGCAGACAGGCCTGTCCTCACTAACACTTCCAGTCACTCCTGTTTAATATGACTGAGTTGACACAGAAAAAGGATCCTGACGTTGCTTTCCAGATGCGTTTCCAGGCATCGGTTCTAAAAAAAGGGTTACTTCTCTGGAAACCAGCGGAAGCAAGACAGAAGAGAAAGATGCAGCCAAGGCCATCTCTGTGCTCTTGCTCGAACAGCGCCAAGTATTTCCTGGTGCGCCTGAAACGTGCCCCATGCTGCGGTCAAGAGGGGCTTTCCCAGAGCCCAGGGAGCCTTGTGGGCGCGGAGCAGACCTGTGCCGCGCTCAGCACGCCCGGGGAGGCGAATCCCCGCGAGACGGAGCGAGGCACGCCCGGGGTGAGGTAGGGTACGGCAGCCGTGCGCCGGAGCTGACCTGTGCAGCCAGGCCCCGAGCCGACCTGCCCACACGGCGCAGAGGGGCCAGGGCGCAGGGTGAGGGTTGCCAGTGCCACAGGAGGGGAAAGGAAATCCGGGGGAGGTACTAGGAGCCTCTGTGGGAGCCTGTTTTACCAGTGAGCAGCAACAGGGGAAGGGGAAAGGGGACTGGGTTTTAATCCTGTCCTAAAGAGGAGAACGTACATGGCTTTGCTTTGTGCCAGAAACCCAGCCAGGGCAGCGCAGCCCGGGAGACGGCAGCCTCTCCTCTCACCCCGCCTGGGCCGAGGC